TTCTTCAAACACTTCTCTTCACCCCTAGTTTGTCACAGCCCTACATATTCATGAATGATTCTGACATGTCTACTTTGATTTAATACCGAAAATTACAGAACAGGGTATTCCATGTCATAAGGATTGAGGCCATTAATAATTAGGAGATAATGTTGTGTCTATGATACTTTTGGGTTGTGAGGTCCTAAAGGCTTTTATAATACTGTACATCAAAACAATTGCTTCTGATTTTGGAAATGAAGACATGCAGTATTTTTTAAATAGTTTTAATAACAGTGATTATATTAACATTGAGATTGGAGCCAAACTGTTGTGATGTTAGGGATGTCATACAAGAGCTGGTAGTACTGTTTGGCTGCTGGAAAGAGTTTTAGTTTCCTAGTGTGGAGGGATAGATTATATGCAAACGGAATTTAAACGGAGAATAAAAAAAAATCATCAAATAAGATGAAACAGCTACCGTCACACACAAAACTTGCTGTAGGAATTGCTTGCTAAATTTCCTCATTTTATGAGTTGTCTACTACAAAGCTTCTATCTCTATTACTCCCTTTAATTAATTAAATGTTTGTTTCAGCGCTTACTACTAAATTATCCCGGATGAGTAATATTAATAATATTTATAAAGCTTTGGATATCCTGGAACAAAAGTTTTGGAAAAAAATAGAGAAACATTTAATTTTATGGATCTATATAATTCAACTTAAAATACTCAAAGCACTCACTGTTTGAAACTTAGATATGAAAATAGATTTTCATTTCTTGTTGAGAACTAAATTATTCTCAATCAAATATCATCAAAACCTCTTCTGTTTCTAGAGATTGACTTTATGGGAAAACAGTTCCATCTGCTGGATACTAAGGGTAAACATAAGCTGTTCTCTAAAAATAGTTAACTTATATAAGTTTGTAATGATATACTAGAATGTATTAGTCATACAACATTTCAGTTTTATTAACCCATATTTTACTGTTATTTTGATTCTTTTCTCCAATATTCTCTTGTTTTCGTTCTTGTATCTTTTTACAAGTACAACTTGTATTGTTTTTCCTTTATTATGTATACAGTTGTAATCATTTGAAATGATTAAAAATAGTTAAATTAGAGAAAAGGACTACTATTAAATTTTGCTTCCTTTTTTTCCAAAATTGCTCATTCTTTAGGTTTGCCTTCCAAAGTCAGCTCATAGTTCAGGTTTTTTTAAAATCTGATTATATTAGGGTGAAATAAGTTTGAGATTCAGATTCAGAAGGTAGAGAATTAAAAAAATTCTCCAGGTAGGAAACTATATGCACAGATTTCTACTCCTAGTTATCTTTCTACTCCATTATTCATTCTCCTCTCACTCCCACTTTCTTCATTTTATTAGTATAGTGTTTTATTTTTTTTTTGTCTGGACAGATCTTGATCTGCTCCCCCATCTTGCTGAGATTGAAGCTTAGGTAGAACCATTTATTAATACTCAATTTCAGTATGTTTGATCTTGCATCATCATAAATTGCAGTTGCTTTCATTATAAGATGTATTCCTTATCGGCAAAGATAAGTGCTTTGAAATTACCAAATTTCGTCAAACACAATCATGAAGACTTTGCATTGACCTTTCTCTTGTTATCCTTTTAGCGTAAGTATGCCGATGGGCATTCATTCATTCATTCATTCATTCATTCATTCATTCATTCATTCATTCATTCATTCTGGATCACATAGAACATTTGGGTTCACATTGGAACATAACATGTCTGACTCATTGAGATAATTCCCTGGTTTTTGATATCCTTCAAACATCTGCAGATATCTATAAAGAAAAATATGGTGTGGATTATTATTTAGTTTTGGACTGTGAGAGTAAAGGGGGAACTTTGTTTAAATGGAAATCCAGATATAAATATTTGTTCCTTCTGTGAACACTTATTGAACTTTTGCTGATGAATAAAGGGATTTGAGGATTTAGAGATGGGTTTATAGAAAGATGGTGAGATACAGAATGAAGATATATTTATTTTATTTGGGGGGGTGTTCCCCTACATTTTTATGTGCACACACACACACATGTTTTAATGTATTAGGTTGTATTATTCTTATCTGTTTGATATAATCCTTAATACATTTTTTCTTTAAAAAAACCTTATATCACTGAAATCAGTTAATGAATATGAAAACTGCAACTCTATATGTGTATATTGGTCCAATTTAGATCATAATTTTAAAAAACAGGGATCACAATTATTTGTCAGAAAATTATATTGAGATATATTACAGGTAGTCCTTAACTTACAATCATAACTGACCCGGAATTATTGTAAAACACGGCAATCATTAAGTGGGTCACCATGTAACTGCCCCTGATTTTACATTTATTTTTTTTTTGGGTGGCAATCAGCAAGCAAACACAGTGGTTGTTTTGTCCCAATAGACGGTTTTTGCTAGGAATCAGAAGTAAATGGTAAAACTGGCAAAACCCACCAAAATGCAGTCATGGGACACTGCAAACGGCCATAAATGCAAGCCAGTTGGCAAGTACCCAAAATGCAATCATGTGACGGGGGGGGGGGGGAACTGTGGCCATCAGAACTTTGAAAATGGGTTGTATGTAGTTCTAGGAGGCCTGTCTTAACTTCAAACGGTTGCTAAGCAACCATTAAATGACTATCTGTGTGAATGAACATAACAGAATCATAACATAATTATGCTAGCGACACTTGATGTAAAGAATGAAATTTTTGTTACATTCACTTCTGTAATACATTTTCAAATAAGGAACTAAATATATTGATAATACCAGTAAGCAGTTAGTCAGGTTACAATGGCAATTGGAAGTGGAATTTCCATCTTAAGTGATGTGAAACAGTTGTAAAACACAGAAACACATGACTGTCTTTCTTAGCAACAGAGATCCTACAGTCCTGGTTGCCATTATAACCACAGGACCACAGGACAGCAAGCTGGGGGTGGGGGTTACTATGGGGGGGGGTAGACACTCCAGAGCATCGGGATGCTGCAGCAGTGTCATGAGGGGTGGGTGGAATTTTTAACTCTTGAAAAGCTATGGAATTTGGGTTAGTTTCATCCATATTTCCATATTTATAGTTTTTTTTCTCTTGCTGGGCTATTAAACAAATATTTTAGAATGCCATAGAGCGAGACATCTTTCTTCTCCAAGATATTACATAGTAATAAACAGCATTTGTTTTTGTAGGAATTAATTAGCTACTGGTAATTTGACAGTAGCATTCTATTTAAGAGCTATTTCAGATTGCATTCTAAGGAAGCTAATTCTTAATCATTTTCTCTAAAGATTACATATACCATGCCAGATATGATGATCAGTGCTCAACAAGGTTATAAATCAATACCGCAAAGCAGATACCGCTCACATAAAACACCTCATTGTTTCTTTTCTGTAACTCCCAGGTATGCTCCAAAACCATTTTGGAGTATTGAGGGACACTACAGAAGGTTTTATATGTGGTGTAGAGTGATTGGGAAGGAATATAATTTCTACGAATTTGAAAATGGTTTCTGTCTTTAGAAGAATGGCACTATTCATAAAAGACTGCAATCTTCTACAAATTTATCAGAATTTACAAGTTTGCCGGAAAAGAACTTCTGTTGAATGTGTTAAAGCAGAGGTCCCCAACTTTTTGGGCACCAGGAACTGGTTACTTGGAGAGAGGTTTTTTCATAGACCGGAGGAGGCGTGGTTTTGTGTGCTGCCTGCATCCTGTGGATGGGACTTTCCTTGTTTGTGCAGACCGGTTGCTGGCATGCCACGGCCCGGTACTGAGCCACGAACCAGGGATTGGGGACCCCTGCGTTAAAGACTGCACTAGATTATTCAATTGGAATAAGAAACCTGTAGTAACCAGAGAGCAATCTGTACACGTATTAAAATACCAAATATATACATAAACACCTTGGTATAATAATTAATGTGTTGAACTCCAGGTTCAAACCAACAGGTGGTCCTTATTTAGCATCTGCCTCGGACAGCAATCATTTGCAGTTACAATCATGATGAAAAAGTAACTTGTGAACAGTGCCCACATTTATGAACTTTGTGGTATCTATATCTTCCCCCTCCTTCTGATAGCACAGAGATATTACCTATGCAAACGCAATGCATCCCTTAAAAAACGTGCTAACCACAAGCTAACAAGCTTAGCTTTACCTTAAGTTGATTAGAACCTTCTAGCAAGCTGCTGCTACTTCCTGATCCTGACAAAATCCTAACCAGTTTCACACTAAAGGCTTTTCTTTGCCTTGTGAGTTGCAGCTTGAGCTTGCTAGGCAAACAGCTGGTGCTAGTACATTGCTTTCAATGTGTATTCCTCATTGTGTGCTTGAAATCCCTTCCTCTCCAGTGTATGTAAATACAAACATTAATTCCTTTTTTGTTAATTGTTACAAGGCTGGGGTGAACATTCCAAAGGGTGAGAGAATGGGGGGAAATGGCTATAAGATTTGCCCATTTTTCCATTTTCCTTGTGAGTTGAATTCTGGAAACGTAACCCTAACTCCTCTCACACTTGATTGATAAAGGAAAGGAAAGCTGAAGTAAAATTGTAAGAACTGTCATGGTCACATTATTTTTCCACTTAGCAACTACTTTGTTTAACCATCAAGTTGCCAGTCCCAATTGCAGACACTAAATGAGGACTACCTGAACTCTCATACAAAGAGGCTCACAGAGTGACTTAGAGGCAAATCATTCTTTCTCAGACTCAGACTAAGCTCACAGAATTGTAGCTGTTGGATAAGTTGGAGAAAGGAGTGCTATATTTATTACGCTGAACTCCTGATGGTATATACATATGACAAAATATTTGAACAATAGCACGACAGTAAGGCAACAGCATTATTTATAGTGTTTATGCCTTACTGACCTAGAGATAATGTTTATAGTTTACTGTAAAATTTATATAATTAAAGCTAAAACTGTGTCTTTGTTTTCTTTAAAGATACTGAATATTCTTTTTTTTCTCCCCCTAACAATATAGGAGTTGTCAAAGTGGATTATGGAGATGTATCAGTCAGAAAAGCCTTGAGAGAAAATTTGAAATGTAAACCATTTTCATGGTACCTAGAAAATGTGTATCCAGATTCTCAGATTCCACGTCGCTATTACTCCCTTGGAGAGGTATGAATTGAGGGGGCAGGGGGGTTGCATAAGAATTTGTTTTTAAAATGAAAAAATATCTCATATATGCAAGTGTAATTTAGTTTCAGGTCAAATTTATACTCAGTTTATACTCTGAGACTAATTACAGTCTGATCCTGTAGACTAGATGAACTTTGCTTGCATAGACTAGGCGCTTTGCTTGGATGTGAAGTTCTGCTCTGGTCCAAGTAGCTGCAGTTCCATCTGTTCCAAGACTTGAACCATGGCTGTGTCTTCATCAGCTTTCCTTCAAGCAGTTTCATGGCTTCAAGAGGAACTGATCCGGCACTTGCACCATCAATGATTTGCTCAAGCCTAATCAATAGAGATCTCGAGGCAGATTCATTAATTTCAGGAAAATTCGGGATCACTTAAGATCATCCAGGTCTAAGGTAGGACAGTTAAAGTAAGTTAGGATTAAAAACCAAGATAGGACCATTGTAATAGAATCTCATCTTAACAGACAAATTGAATGGAAGGGGCTCTGTTACTGAAAAAGATCTGCTCAATTGGAGAGTAGGGCGTTACATCGTCTGCATGAGGATATGTTCACAGAAATGAGGCAACTGATGTTAATTGAGCAGATTTCAATAATATATAAAATCCATTACATCAAAATTTGCAAAGAGAAAGTTTCACTGCATTTATATATAAAATAATGAATATAGTTTCCAGATCTTTCTGGAATTAGATGCCTCCACAGATCTTCCCAAGAAGATTTAGGACTACTGGATTTATTGATAGTCATACTTGCTTTCTGGAGGAGCAAGGAAGGAAGAGGTTGTGATGACTCAGCCTCTTCTGAAACTGCTCTTCTTTTGAAGCAATCTATATTGCTAGATAACTTTCCCTAATAATTTTTTGCTTTTTTTCATTTTGTTCTTAAGCAGCAAAAATGTTTTATTTATGATCTACTGTATTTTTAAAAAAGAAAAAAACCAAAAGCTTGTATGGATAGAGAAATGACATTAATCTCTTAGAAATGTGAATGCCAAAACTAGATTTTAAGAAAAAATCTAATAATATTTAAAGAATATTTTAAAAACAGAAGCTTCAAGTAAGAGAAATAATTGCAGGACGGGGCATACAATAGATGGATAGCAAAGTCAGATGAGTAAAGGCATGAAGTAATAGTTAAAGAGTACTTTACTTTTATCAATAAGCACTGGGTTTCTATGGAGAGGGGAGGAGAAGTTCAAAGAACTGTGAAAGAAACCTTGACTACTTGTCAATTTCAGGTAACTTTCTAGGGAATTTCCCCTATCTAGGAATAGACTATATAGGATATAGCAGGGTTCTCCAACCTTGGCAACTTTAAGACTTGTGGACTTCAACTTCCAGAATTCCTCAGTTAGTATGTGGAGACATCTATGGCTGATGGAAGAATTCTGGGAGTTGAAGTCCACAAGTCTTAAAGTTGCCAAGGTTGGAGACTCCTGGGATATAGCAAGACTAACATTTGCATTAATCATTTATTAAGAACAGGTCAAAAAAAATAAAAGGGTTATATAGAGACATGCAATGTGTGCTAAATAAATTTACTCAGAAGAAGGTCCAAATCAATATTTAGCATTGCAGACATCAGTCATTTAGAACAAGGGTCCCGAACCCCTGGTCCATGGACCAGTACCGGGCCGCGGCATGCCAGCAACTGGTCTGCACAAACAAGCAAAGCCCCATCTGCAGGATGCAGGCAGCACACAAAGCCACACATTCTCCGTTCTGTGGAAAAACCTCTCTCCACATAAACGGTCCCTGGAACCCAAAAGGTTGGGGACCTCTGATTTAGATTATGCCTCATGGATGGAAAAAAAATTAAAAGTCTCAGACTATATCAAATATGACCCTGAGAGAAAAACTAAACAGTGATTTTGAATATGTTTCTGATATGAAGATTTGCACATTGATGGAAATATAACAAATATGGAACGTGGAATACTGTAGATATTTGTTAGCAAAAATATACATTACTTTCCTCTACATAGGCAAAAAAATCTGAGTAACTTACAGAAAATCATATATCATAGGCTTTATACAATCTGTGGCATCTGTTCCTACTGGTTCCCTTTCCCTCTTTCAGATTTCTTTTTTTTAATTCATTTCTTTACTGATTTTTTTTACTGAAATACTGAAATGAAACCTTTCATTTCTGTAATATTCCATTGTGTCAATGTATGGGAAAAGGAAAAGACATGAGGAGAAATCAAGACAAAAATGAAACAAAAACATATTAGATTTCATAGAGGAGAAACAGTAATTTTTAAAAAGATTGACCACACAAAATTATATTGATCAATCTTTCCATTATATTGCTTAGAGAGATTATTCATAAAATGAAAGTGCATATGGTTGCTATCATTTCAGTGTAATGTAATAAATATTCTCCACTTTATCAGACTTATCCAGCTCCTAAAAGCAGGAATTGAAATCAGTCTGGTTTATAGTTCTGTTAGCATCTAGATCTTCTGGAGTATTATTATATAATAATTACTATTTTACTCAGTTAGATATCTTTTTGACATTCTGAAATGAAAATTACGAAGCATGAAATCTTAAAGCTGCTGGAAGGAAGTCCTTAAGTAGTTTAATGAAGCTTGTCCAATTTTTACTTAATAAACAAATCCTAATCAAGTACTGTTTTTTCTCCTGAGAAATAGATATTTCATTTTATATTCTTTTAGCTCTCTTTTAATAAAAAGATAATCATTGAAGTCCAGATTCATAAAAAGGATTGTCCAAGTACTTAGGCAGAAACTTCCTACAGTTCAGACATTGGGTATCTTAATATCCATTTAAAAAAAAATAAATGTTTGGAGTGGACAGACCGTGGGTAGCCTGAATATGTATTCACATTTTATTTAATGGACATTTCACGAGAGAACTTGGAACTCGTTCATTACTCTTAATGAAAGAAGTGGAGCAAAATATGATATCTTACTTTAAGGCTGAGTTTACGCTCCTTATTTAACATACTCACATTTAAAAGAGATTTCCATGTGATTACTCTTCTCAGTGACTGTTATTTCAAGTAGACATTTTCAGCTGCATAAAAAAAATTCCACAATTCTTCTCCATATTTCTAAAAGGATGGTCATTATAATCTGCCATTTATGGTTCATGCAACTGTAAATGTAAAACAGATTTTAGTCTTAGAGCTACAAAAGAAGAAAATTACCGCACAGAAACACCAGTAATGTTGAATAAATTTGTGTGGTCGAACTTCCAAGCAAATGGGAGAACAATATTGGGATGGTCTATCTTGAAAGAGTTGTTAACAAGAAAATTAAAAGATAATTTTTTGCCTATATCTGCTTACATATCCCTACTTGCCAGACTAGCCATTTTTACAGGTAGTCCTCAATTACCAACCATAATTAGGACTGGCAGGTCCATTGCTAAGGGACATAATTGTTAAGCACAATATAATGTGATTGCACCGACTTACAGGGTCAGTTCCATCAGGTCTGATTGCAGGTTATTAGGCAAATCAGTATAGGTCATTAAATGTGATGTCACATGACTGCGACTTGCAAATTCCTGCCGGCTTCCCCATTGACTTTGCTTGTTGGAAGCTGGCTGTGAAGGTTGCAAATAGTGATCATGTGACCATGGGATGCTGCAACCATCATAAATGTGCCCCTGTTTACTATGTTCCATATTTCTAATCTAAATACCTAGTTAACACTTCAGGGGTCTCCCCATAACCTTTTCCCTTAACATATTCAATAAGCATTTATTAGTATCATTTCATCCTTTTTTCTTATTCCTCTTCCATTACGAATAACTATCAATTCTAATAAGAAAAGAAAATATTAATTCAAATCAGAAAGGGAGAAAAAAAAGAGAAAAAAACAAAAAAAAACCAAAGACAAGACAAAAAGAAAGAAAAGAGAAAAATACCTTTCTATTTCTATTATTCTTTATAATCTAACAATCAATCCCTCAATATCTGTATCAAATTTCTTTAATGTCCTCCCAAAATTACTGTATCCAAAGCATATTAATACATAAACAAAACAAGTTATTAAGTTCAAACCTTAATTAGTTTTTATTCAATCTAATNTATAATCAGCAAGCCCACTTGTACCCCTAGCCCCCATTTCACAAGGAGGGACTCTACGCCGTCTATCTGAGGCACAGTGGTCTCCCTAGGACAAAGGCCCTCCCTTATAATGACCGCTACCCCCCCGCCCCTACCCCGGGTCCTCGGCTGATGAAATGCCTGAAAACCTGGTGGGCAGATGTCTACAAGAGGTACTCTTGTAGACATGCCAAAACTCAGGCTCAGACTAAGCTCACAGAATTGTAGCTGTTGGATAAGTTGGAGAAAGGAGTGCTATATTTATTACGCTGAACTCCTGATGGTATATACATATGACAAAATATTTGAACAATAGCACGACAGTAAGGCAACAGCATTATTTATAGTGTTTATGCCTTACTGACCTAGAGATAATGTTTATAGTTTACTGTAAAATTTATATAATTAAAGCTAAAACTGTGTCTTTGTTTTGTTTAAAGATACTGAATATTCTTTTTTTCTCCCCCTAACAATATAGGAGTTGTCAAAGTGGATTATGGAGATGTATCAGTCAGAAAAGCCTTGAGAGAAAATTTGAAATGTAAACCATTTTCATGGTACCTAGAAAATGTGTATCCAGATTCTCAGATTCCACGTCGCTATTACTCCCTTGGAGAGGTATGAATTGAGGGGGCAGGGGGGTTGCATAAGAATTTGTTTTTAAAATGAAAAAAATATCTCATATATGCAAATGTAATTTAGTTTCAGGTCAAATTTATACTCAGTTTATACTCTGAGACTAATTACAGTCTGACCCTGTAGACTAGAGGAACTTTGCTTGCATAGACTAGGCGCTTTGCTTGGATGTGAAGTTCTGCTCTGGTCCAAGTAGCTGCAGTTCCATCTGTTCCAAGACTTGAACCATCGCTGTGTCTTCATCAGCTTTCCTTCAAGCAGT